TTTTTTTTTTTTTTTGTATCTTGTGCTTATGAGGCAGGCAGTGGTACCACTGAGCTAAATCCTTAGTCCTAAATCTTGCATTTTTCTATTATATGCACCTTGTGCTACAAATTTCTCTCTGAGCATACCTCTGTGTCTTACTAGTTTTGATAATTCACTTTCATTAGCTTTGGATCCTTCCCAAAGTTCAATTTTTAATTCACTTTTAATTAATACTTTTGGTTCTTGAGGCCCCAGGTCCTAAGAGAATATCACAATGCTCTTTGTTTTATTTTCTTGTCCCTATATTTAATTTTCTTTCCTGTGTCAGTCCTGCCTACTAGAATAATGGCTTCCTAATTTAGGGGTCACCCTAGTCTGAGCAAGTGGTAAGGGGCAGCAACAGATGAAGTCAAATAGCACTACAGGTATCACATAAGCATCTCTGGGCAGATTTTAACAAACTGCCATAATCTTAAAATTATTAAGACAGTGACAGTTATTCAGAAGGATAACTGGAGTCAGTTAGCATATCCGTAACACTTTATGCAAAAAGTGACAGGAGAATATCTAAAGGATAATAGACTACACCGAAAGACGGAGAACACCTGCGTGGTTGGGTAGCAGGTAGTGTGAACGCCCTCTGCGCAAGATGATCTGTTTTCATTCTGTCCTTTCTAGGCTATGCAGGTCATGGTTGGCCTGATGAACCTCAGCATGGGAATAGTAATGATGTGCAGCTCGATACCTTCGTACGGACAGAAAGCCTTTACAGTGTACACGGGGTACTCAGTTTGGGGATCTGTGATGGTGAGTGGCCCCTTTTCACAAAACTGCAGAGTGCACGGCATTATTTGTACTCCCATCAGATCTGCACAGCAACCCTTGCCTGACTGTACCATAGAGGGCTATAGCTTCAAGACAAGTGTGCTTAACCTTCCTGTCTCACTTTCTTAGTTAATACAGAAATGACACCATAAATGTGTGGAAAATTAAACACTAGTTATGTCATATCTATCAGATGAATCACAGCACAGTGTGGCTATGGACACAAAGCGGACAACGGAAACTGACAGCTCGGATTCTTCCAGCCCGGGGCGGAGGCGTCTGCAGGCTCTGAGTCCAGGCGAGCACCTCAGCGAGCGCGGCCAGCAGCGCACACCCGTTTGCCTTCATGCGTCACTGCGCACTGACACGAGGCCCACATCCTCAGAGCACAGGCGATCAGGGGCACCAGCTGCCTCCGAGCTTTCGCTGTCTCGAGCACTTCTGTAGCCGCGAAGGTGCCGCACCGCTCTGAGGGTCACAGGGGACTGAAGAAAACGGGGCGGTTGGCAGTTTGTCAGCTCTGCCAGTGTTTACCTTAGAAAACACAACTAGTTTTAGATCAGAAGTTTCCTAAAAATGACCTTAAGTGAAATTTTATGAAGATAACAACTTGAGAACGTTTAAAAATCTATCCTCACGTCAAAACACAAGAGGGTTTTCGTGGACGTCCGAGTACACAAGTTTACAATTCGCAGAGGAGGAAATGCTCTTCTACATCTGCAAGTGGCACAGGGCTCCTGCGTCTGATGAAAGCCCAACAAATCTGTTTACATCAAAGTTTTAGTGTGGTACAGGCGCCCTGTGGAGTGTTTTATAGGCGTAAATCGATCTCAACCAAACAACAAAATCTTCTGCCAAAGTTTTGTCATCGTGATTCTTGTTTGAAAGAGGAAATGAGGAGTTAGGCTAGCTACGGACTTGTCCGGGGTCTCTCAGGTTCAGGACTCGGGACTCCAGGCGCTTAGGCCGTTTCCAAAGCTGCCTACACCTCCCCAGTCCAGCCGGCGACGCCGCTTCTCAGTCCGTTCCCCGGACGCCCTGGAAACCTCTCCCGCAGCTTCTGACACCTGCGTGCGTCGGAGGCGTCACCGGGACGGGCGGCTGCGGCGCTGTCCCAAGCCAGGCCCCAGACGGGGCGTGGCCGGCGCTTCTTCCTTCAGCTTCTCACGATTTGGCGCAAACGCTTCGAGGTCAGGCAGACCCCACGCCTCCTTTAATTGCGCTCCCAGCCTTCCCGGCACAGCGCCCCGTTTGGTTCCTTCTCGCAGTGCAAGCACAATAGTAAGGATCGCACAAGTCTCTTACGCGTGCCCTCTCCCAACGCGGGGCAGCCAGACGACTTTTTTACAGCTCCACAGAATCACTGCCACATTAATCGGTTTTTCAAGTTTTCTTAGGTGCATTTTTGGAATATTGCAGTTTTATTCATAGCAATCTCTCACACTCAATGTTTACTTTTTCGTCTAGATGCTTTGTGTAGTTTTGTTAGTAGGGTAAATAAGGTTGTATCACATCCAGCTTTCAGCGGGCAGCATCACCAGTCTGGGACTTTAGCACATGCATGTCTGCAGGTTCCCTCACCCCAACCCCTTGATTAAACAAAAAAATCACAGTTCATGATTTCTCTCAGATAAAAGGATGGGTGGTATTCTCTGTTAATTTTTTCAGGGTGGTTTTCGTAAAATTGTTTTGCTTTGTTATATAAAATTTTGTGAAAATCAAAAGCACATTTATTAAGCTATTTATTCATTCTTTCACCTTGAATTCATTTATAGTTTTTAAATCTCCTAAAATCAGATTTGGAATACTAATTCAGAACTTTGAAAAGTTGAATTATGTAAAGCAGAGAATTCAACCAAATCAACTCCCGGGGTTTTAGAAAATGAAAACCTGTTGCCCGGATGGCAGAAAGCAATAAGCTAGTGTGTTCCAGTCATCATCAAATACGAAATCTAAATTGTTCTCTGCCATTATTTTGCTCAGGACTTTTAATAGGTATTTTAAGCGCAAATAGTGCTTAACTTCTCCTATTTTTCTTTGAGTATCATATCAGCATGGACATCATATTAGCATTACTTCTTTTCAGGAATCTGGATACTATATGACTCAGGGACTTTAAACAATGTTAAGACTATTACCATTAGTTATATTTTGAAAAGCTTGATGAATTCTCCCATGAATTTATCTCATAGAATTCTTCTGTTCTTTAGTGGAAGAATGGAACAGTGATCAGCAAACTTCAGGGTCTCTTTTAAACTATCACTCTGTCTAACATGGTGATAAAATGTAGGAGTAAATTTTAATATATTATGATTTGTCATAGTGATTTAAGTTTTTAACCTAACTTTTTCCTCTCATTCCTAGTTTATTATTTCAGGATCTTTCTCAATTGCAGCAGCAAGAAGAACTACAAAAGGTCTGGTGAGTTCTACTTTCCTTTATTTTATTTTGGTATCAAAAGAGGAAAAATCTCATCAAATATGCATTCTGAATGGGTATAAAACATTGTTTCTTTAAAAGAATCAAGTGTCCTGAGCTTTACTTTGAAGGATCATTCAATAGTTAAACTCAGATGCTTGGATAATCGTGGTTAATCGTATGATGCTGAATATTTTGGCAAGACTATGGCCGAGGGACTCTGCACAGAGGCACAGAAGTTCTGGAGAAGGAACGTCTCGCAGAGTCAGAGTAGCTGGAACTTGAGATTGGGCCCAGGATGCAGGCACTATGCAATGTTCATTGATTGAAATGCTGCTTCAACTGCACCCAAGAAGGGTTTTGAGTTTTCAGTTTTCCAGTAAGCTTTTACTCAAGAAGAAACAAATTTAAATTATCACTCTCGGGTCAGTATGTCTTTCACAAATCTGGGTTAAGACACCATAGATAAATCTATATCTGCATCTATGAATCTGCTGAAAATGCAAGCATCAAACTGTGGCAAGATCAATGTGGCCTTTCCAGAATCTGGCCAGCACCTGTCATTAACATCTCCTCTGGCTACAGCCATTAAGGGTCTGTCCCACAGTCACACTTTCCCGAGCAATTTTCATTCTCATGAAAAGCTTATTCCACCATGAAAAGAGGCTGGAAAGAAGGAAAGACCAATCTGAGACATAACACGCCAAGGGTAGAGCCATGAGGAGCAGGTAGGATTTGAAGCATTTGGAGTGCTCAGCCCCTGCAGCAGAGCAGGGGGGAGCTGCAGGGAGCAGGCTGTGCAGCTGAGGGGCAGAGGACTTGGGAATCCCGGCGAGGAGACCCGGAGTGGCTGCCCTGTGCTCATAGACACCATCTGAGCGAGGTAAACTAGGAAATACCAAGGTTGTATTTCTGTCTTGGTGAGAGATTAATCATTTCCAATTTAGGGAAAGGTAACTTTGGAAACTATTAAAATACTGAAAACAGTATGAGATGTGTGGCGAAAGAAATGGTAAGCCTTCACACGAATAATGTAGAACTGGCTGAGTGTGCCCCTGGATTGTTTCATTGACTTTTGTTCCTTTCTAGGTCCGAGCCAGTTTAGGCTTGAACATCACCAGCTCTGTCTTTGCTGGAGTGGGAATGATCCTCCTTATAGTCAGCTTGGTCTTAAATGCAGCGTATCCCTTTTCCTGCTACTACTATCGCAACACATCAGAAAACTGTTACCTGCGACAATCTATTCTAATAGTGAGTGCCCCCTCTTGTCACGGAACGCTAGTGCAGCAGCCAAGAATGCAGGGCACCGGCTCTGGCAGAACCGGCCATCAACACTGGGGAGTGCTGGGTCTTTGGGGGAAAGAGGAACCCACTGAGAAACAGAACAAACTCACTCAGGCATCCAGCTCATGCACCTCCTCTCTTTGTCCTCTACAAGGGATGAGGCCGAGTGAGAGGAACGCGTTGCCCGTGGTGCTCACTGCGTGCGGCTCTTGGGCACCACTTTTACAGTTTAATTAAGAACACCGATCTGTATCTACTGTTATCCCATCTGAACTAGAAGGCAATGCCAGTCCCCGGATGCCCCCAGGGCTTCCTGACTCAGCCCAGTAGGGTTCTGTGGTTCTCTGATGATAAAGGAAAATTGTCTTGAGCACTGTGCGGCCGTGCGCTGCTGGGCATCTCAGGGTGTCCCTGTAACATATGCCATGTTTTCCGCACCATTCAACTCCCGGAAGGCCGTCTGCATTTTACTGCTTCTTTTTGGGCCATTTGCCCTCATCTACACGATATCCTCATTGCTTCATCCTGCAGATTATTACTCACACGAGCCCTTGCGAGCAGGGAAAGCGCTTGGAGTCTGTGCCCCGGGTGAGTGCACAGAGCCCCTTCCGAGCCCTGCAGCTCACCAGCACTGCCGCTGCCTCCATGCTAGTGAAATGCTGCGAGCCATTGCAAACAAACGCGTTTGTGTTTCCCGCTGTCCTCTGACCACCCGCGCTCCCGGGCTCTGCTCACTGGTCAGCGGTATCTGTCCTCTTCCTCCTCTCTCACCAAACAGTGGAAATTCCCCATTTACAAGGACATATTACGCAGGAGCAATGGTAGTGCTTTTATTTTTAAAAAATTAATTTTATTGGTATATTTAACGTATACAACACAATGACATTCATTGTTGGAAATTGGTACCTTGGTTCTTATTTTTTCCTCATTCTCCCACCCTCTCTTCAACCCCTCCCTCCTGCCTTCAAAGACTTTGTTTTCATTATTTTTCATGTTCTCACTAATTCCATTCCCTTCTTTCTTATTCCCCTGCTCCTCCCATTACCCCTTCCTCTTTGTCCCTTTTGTTCCTTTTTCACATTATCTATTACACCTTTTAGTCCTTATTTTCACTTTCAATTACTAACACTAGAGAAACTTTTCAGTATTTACATGTGTGTCCTATTTATGTCACTTGAGTATCACCTAAATGTGCATTATTTTAGCTATAAATGTCTCTAATTTCTCATTTTTATGGCTGAGTAGTAGTCTCATTTTTTAAAAAAACACATTTTCTTTATCCAGTCTGCAGTTGATGAACATTTGGTCTGCTTGCCAGTTTTAGTTATTATGAATTTTGCTGCTATGAACATGGGTGCACATATATCACTGTGTTATGATTCTGTTAATTCTTTCGGAAAGATACCCAGCAGAGGGATGGCTGGGCCAAATGGAACCTCTAATCCTAGTTTTCTGAGGTATCTCCGTATTGAATTCCCCCTTGTTTGCACCAGTCTGCACTCCCACCAGCAGTGGAGCAGGGTTCCTCTATCTCCTCAGCCCTGCCAGATTTGTTATTGGTTGATTTCAATATAGCAGCCATTCTTTCTGGGGTGAGGTAGAATCTCAGCATTGTTTCCATTTTAATTTCTCAAATGACCAGTGATGTTGAACATTTTTTCGTATGCTTATTTACTATTTCTACCTCTTTTTCTGAGAAATGTCTGTTCATTTCAGATGCCCATTTTTGGATTGGGTCTTTAAATTTGGGAGTTCTGATTTTTCTTTAAATTCTTTATATATTTTAGATAGTAGACCTTTGTCTGAGGAAGAGCTGGTGACAATTTTTTTCCCACATTGTGTGTTGTCTCGTCACACTGTTGGTAGTTTCTTGTGTTGTGCAGAAGCTTTTAAATAAGAAGACATCCCACTTATTGATTGTTTGCACTAGCCGATGGGCAACTGAGGTTTTGTTCATAAAATCTTTTCCTACACCAATGACTTCAAGAGTTCTACCTAACCTCTCTTCCAGCCAGTTTTGTGTTTCTATTTTAACGTTTAGATCATTAATCCATTTTGATTTTAGTTTAGTGCATGGCAAGAGACACAGGTCTAGTTTTAATCTTTGGCAAGTTGAAACTCAGTTTTTCGAGCACCATTTATTAAAGAGGCTGTCTTTGCTCCACTTAAGGTGTTTGGCTCTTTTGTTTAAGATGAGGTGGGTGAGTGTGTCTGGAGTTGTTTCTTTATCTTCTAATCTGGTCCACTGGTCCTCAGGTCTGTTTCTTTGCCAGTACCATGCTGTTTTTATCACAGTTGCTTGGTAGTATAGTTTCATGTTGGGGACTGTGAAACCTCCTAACTTTTCTTTATTGCCTAAAATTGCTTTTGCTCTTCTAGGTCTCTTCTTTGTCCAAATTAATTTTGAATTGTTTCCTCGAGGTCTGTGAAGCATGCTGCTGGGATTTCATTTGGGATTGCATTGAATCTATGTAGCATTTTTGGACGTATGGCCATTTCCACTATGTTGATTCTCCCTACCTAGGAACAAGGAAAGTCTTTCCATTTTTTATATCTCTTCAGTCTCTTTTTTTCAGAATGCTATAGTGTTCAGGGTAGAGGTCTTTTATTTCTTTTGTTAGGTTGATTCCTAGGTATTTCAATTTTTGGGATCCTATTGTAAAAGGAATTAATTGCACCATCTCTCTCTCTCTCTCTCTCTCTCTCTCTCTCTCTCTCTCTCTCAGTAAGTCTATCTCCATGTACAGAAAAGCTATTGGTTTTGTGCGTTAACCTTGTATCCAGCTACTTTACTGAGTTTGGTTAAGTCTAAAAGACTTTTGGTGGAGTTCTTGGGGTCTTCTAAATAGAGTATCATGTCATCTGCTAATAATGACAATTTGACTTCTTCCTTTCCTATCTTTATTCATTTTATTTCTTTCTCTTGTCTGATTGCTGTAGCTAATGTTTCCAAAACTATACAACAGGAGTGGTGATAGTGGACATCCTTGTCTTGTTCCTGATTTTAGCATGAAGGATTTCAGTTTTTGACCATTTAGTATGATATTGGCATCTGGATTTTCATAGATGGCTTTTATCAGATTAAGGTAGAAACCATCTATTCCAATTTTCTGTAGGGTTTTTATCAGAAATCCATGTTAGATTTTGTCAAATGCTTTTTCTGCATTGATTGAGATGATTATATGGTTTTTATTGCTATTGGTTCTATTAATATAGAGTATTACATTTATTTGCATATGTTGAACCATCCCTCCATTCCTGGGATGAATTCCACTTGGTCAGGGTGTATATAATCTTCTAGATGATGTTCTGCATTCTATTTCCCAGTATCTTATTAAGGATTTTTGCATCTATGTTTATTAATGAAGTTGATCTATAGTTCTCTTTTTCCATTGGGTCTTTCTCTGCTTTGGGGATCAAGGTGATGCTTGCTTTCAGAATGAATTTGGGACTATTGCTTCCCTTTCAATTTCATTGAAGAGTTTAAACAGAAGTGTCAGTAGTTCCTTTCTAAATGTCTGGTAGAATTCAGCAGTGAAGCCATCAGGACCCGGACTTTTCTTAGTTGGTAAGTTTTTAATTACATTTTCAAATTCATTGTCTGATATTGCATTGTTTAGAATTTTTAGGTCACCTTCATTCAACTTTGGTAATTCATACAAATCTAGGAAACTGTCCATTTCTTCTGTATTTTCCATTTTATTGGCATAAAGTTTCTCAAAGTAGATCTTGATGATCCTTTGGATTTCTGCTGGGTCTGTTGTAATTTCACCCTTTTCATTCCTAATTTGGGTTTTTTTCCCAAGGTTGATTAAGAGTGTGTCAATTTTGTTTATTCTTTCAAAGAACCAACTCTTGGCTTTGTTGATTTTTTGTATCATTCTTTGGTCTCCATTGCATTGATTCCTGCTCTGATCTTTATAATTTCCTCGCTTTTATGAGCTTTGGGTTTGTCCTGCTCTTCTTTTTCTAGAAGCTTGAAATTCAGTATTTGATACTTTACTTGTGCTTCCTCTATTTTCCTAATATGCTCTTTCAGTGCTATGAATTTTCCTCATAAGACAGCTTTCATTGTTCCCATAGATTCCAATATGTTGTCTTATCAATGTCATTTAATTATAGGAACTGACTGATTTCTTCTTTAATATCCTCTGTGACTCATTGGTTATTCAGGAGTGTGTTCTTCAATTTCCATATATTTATGAAATTCTTGCTGTTTCTTTTGCCATTGACTTCTGATTTCATTGCACTATAGTCTGATAACTCCAATTCCTTTGCACTTAGTTAGACATGTTCTATGAGTGGGTCTGTGGTCTATTTTGAAGAACAACCCATGTGCACCTGAAAAGAATGTGTACTCTGATTTTGTAGGGTGGAACACTCTGTAAACATCTGTTGTGTTCATTTGTTCACGTGTTTGAGTTCTAGTATTTCATTGTTTATTTTCTATCTAGTTGATTTATTTGTGACAGTGGGATATTGAGGTCCCCCATTACTATTGTATTAGCACTCATTTGATTTATCATGTCTGTTAGTATTTGTTTTATATTGTTGGGCACACTAGTGTTTGGTGCATATATGTTGATGATTATCATCTCTTCCTCTTGGATTATTCCCTTTACAAGGATGTAGTGTCTTTCTTTGTCTTTCTTAACCAGTGTTGGTTTGAAATCCACATGAGGATAGCTACTCCTGCTTTTTTTCAGGTTCTTGTCACATGGAATATTGTTTTCTACCCTTTAACTTTCAGTCTATGAGTTTCTTCTTTTACTTAAGTGTGTTTCTTTTATGCAGCATATTCTTGGATCATCCTTCTTGACCCATTCTGCCCATCTATTTCTTTTGATTGGTGAATTGAGACCACTAGCATTGACGGTTATAACTGATATGTATGACTTATCCTTGTCATGATTTTTTCTTGTTGTTGGATTCTCCCCTTTTGCATTTAATTTCTTGTCATACCTGATGGATTCATTCTGCTGGGCTTCCTGGGGGTTGTTATCCTCTTTGTCTTTTCCTAGAATATTGTTTAAAACTTTTTGGAGTGCTGGTTTAATATTCATGAAGATCCTCAGGGGCTCTTTGTCATGAAACTATCTTACTTCTCGGTCAATTTTGAAAGATAGTTTTGCAGGGTACATCAATCTGGGTTGGAAGTTGTTTTCATTTAGGGCTTGAAATATATCACTCCAAGTTCTTCTTGCCTTGTGGGTTTGTGTTGAAAAGTCTGGTGTGATTCTAATACGCTTTCCTTTGTATGTGATTTATTTCTTTTTTCTGACTGCTCATAGAAGTTTGTTCTTCTATTGGGTTTCTGGAATCTTAACTATTATATGCCTATGTGTAGAATTTTTTTTATCGTGGCTAGTTAGAGTCCTATATGTCACATTTATCTATATGTCAAATTGTTTTCCACTTCTTGGGACATTTTCTGCCATTGCTTCTGTGAACAGTTTTTTTTTTTAATGTCATCTGCACTCTATTTAGTTTCTTCCTTGACTCTGATCAATCTTCTATTTCTGAGAAATTATTTCTGACTTCATTTTTCCCAGATCCTCTTTCCCAGATCCTCTTTCACTGCCAGTTCAGGGAGTCCAGGCAGTTGAGTGTCAGATTGTTCCATCTCATTTCCCTTTGGGGTTGCCTTAGATGATCTGGAAGCCTTGCTTTGGGACTCATTTTCATGTCTCCTCGCGTGAACAGATGCATCCTGCTGTGCCTTTATTGAGACAACTTTTTGTTCACCCAGTGGTTTTTAATTCTCAGCAAGCCACCGAAATAACCTCTTCAAGTGCACAGTAGAACAAAATCTCTGCTGGCTAATTTTCTGATAAAAGATTAATATCAACAATCATAAGAATTTTTTTAAAACTTCATATAAACTACCAGTAAATAATCAAATATTTTGGACACAAAGATCACTATCTTTAGCCACTGGAGAAACAAATCGAAGCCCCTTTGAGATTCCAGCTCATGCATCTCAGAGTGGCTGTCATGGAGAATACAAAGGACAATAAGTGCTGGTAAAAATGTAGGGGGAAAGGAACCCTTCCCATGCTGCAGGGAATGTAAGTTTAATATGGCCACTGTGGAAATAAGTATGAAGTCTCCTTGGAAACCAGACATAAAGATGCCACGTGATTCAGTACAGAATGGGGTAGATCCACAGAGGAAGTGAACTCAGCATACTGTAGGGATACCTGTACACTCACACTTACTGTGGCACAATTCACAGTAGCCGTGATATGGAGCCCCAGGCACCTGATAGATGTGTGGACAAACCAAGTGTGGTCTATGCACAGAGTGCAGAAGAACAAAATTATGTCTGTGGCAGGAAATTGGGTGAAACTGACTACCGCTACACTAAGTGAAATAAGCCAGATGCATACACGTATCCCACTTTACCTGACACTTTCTGAAGCAGTTCTGGAACTCCTCTTCTGTGTCTTCAGCTGTATCGTTGTGGGTGCCTTCACATTCTGTGTTCATTCAAAATGTTTGTTTTCATGGTCATTTTGAGTCTGGGGAAGAGCCAGAAGTCACATGGCATAGGCCCAGTGAGTAAGGTGGATGAGGACACAGCGTCCTGTTTTTGTGAACCTGCTTCTCTATTGAAGTCACTTGGCAGCAGCTTTCACTGTATTTTTTATCCCACCTCATAAAGCACTCACAGAAGAGGACTTCCAGAGCTGCTTCAGAATGTGGCAAGAGCAAGGGGTGAGTGTGTTTGAAGTGAGTGACATATTGTGACTGGGATGAATGGCAAATTATCTTGTACCATAATAATTTAAATTTAAAAATGAACAGTATAGCTGGGGATTTAGCTCAGAGGTTCGGTGGCCTGCCTTGCAAATGCAAGGACCCGAGTTCAATCCCCGGTACCAAAAAAAAAGAACAGTATATGTTAATTAACCCTCATAAGTATAAATAGAGGTTAGAAAATGTGAATCCTTTGTAGAAAAAGGATCACTAGACCTACCCATATAAATTTCCAGTTGTCAGCCAACTATACTGTTAATAGAGAGATATCAGTATTATAAGGCTCAAAACAATGCATTCAGTATGGCTATTATAGATGTGTGTGTGGTGTGTGTGTGTAATCTCATATATAGTTCATATATATATATATATATATAGAGAGAGAGAGAGAGAGAGAGAGTATGTATATTTGGCTTTTATGGCTGTACTCTTACGTGGACTGACAGAAAAAGTACATCCACATAATTCAGAAATGGATGATGTCTTTGGGAGGCAGGGAGGGATTGAAATGGAGATTCAGCTACATAGTAGAGATAGATCTATAAATAGAAACCAAAATGATATCGATGTAGATGTAGATATTTGCTACTATTTGGGAAGTATTGCCTGCACTTGCTTTTGCAAGTAGGATTAAACTGACCTCTAGCCTAGTCCGTTGGCTGACATACTGTGTGATGTTGCTTCTTTGATGAAATGCCCAAGTTGAGTCCAGAAACAAAGAAATTAGGGCCAGCAAATCTAAAATATATGCTATCTGGCCCCAGAGTGTTCCAACTCCTAGTCTCCTCTGCTAGAGGGCAAGACCCTGGGAGACTGGGCATTGTCTGTTCTGTTGGCTGCTCTCCATATCTAGGCCTAAAGCCATGCCTGGCATACAGAGGTACGGAGTCGATAAAAGCATAAGCGCATAAAGAAGCAATGAAGTAAGATGTTCTCAGGTCCACTGAGTCCGTGTCTCCTCGGAACTGAGCTCGTGGCCCACTGATTCTTTCACAGTAGATGGGTTATCTGTCCCTAAGCTTGGAGAGGGAAACACAGAATGTTTAAGCCAAAGAATCTCAGATCCATCCAGGGTGAGATATTAGGAATAACCGTGCCTCCTAATATTCCTCAATTTGAGCCCTCAGTTTGGATGAATATAAACTTTAAACCAATTGCTTTTGGGGTGAATTAAGCAGGTGTTCCTTACAGCATCGCTTTCTTATTGTGGCATAAACAAACCCATACTAACTGTGTGCATAATTCATATTTATTCTCCTTCATTTGGGAGTTTTGCAGTTCCAGATAGGTCTCTCTCAGCTAAAGGCAAAGACTTGGCTCGGCTATAGCCCTCTCTGGGTTCTCCAGGGAAAATCGGGCTTCTGACTTTCTAGCTCTGACCCCTGCTTCCTGAATCCCTTTGTTCATCGCACCGTCCTCGGCTCCAAATCAGAGCACAAGCTTCAAATCTCTTCTGCTTTGACAACCACTCTGTCCACTTCCACCTGTGTCAGAGCCAGGTGAATAATGCAGAATAATGCATAATAATGTGAATTATGCGGAGTTGTAAACAATTCCTTCCATAAAGCAGATTCTCCTTTGAGCTATAACTGTTTACATCTTCAGCTTTTAAAGATCAGGGGGCCATTATCTGCCGACAATACAAAAATAAAGGGTCTCAAAATTGTGTCAGTGATATGAATTTCTAGTGCCTGAAAGGACTGAGATGACAGAAACGTTTAGAACCAACCCCATGTGCCCTTTTAAAGTACTTTCATACGGTATTTCCATAATAGCCCTCGAAAGTAGGGAGAAGAACCTGATTGTTTTATCGGTGAAGTGATAAGAGCATGACTGGCATCCAGTAAGCAGAGGATTTGCCAAGTCTCAGGATGTGTACGGAGCCAGGTTCCAGACTCCCAGCCAGTGCTTTGTGCATTTTGGTGCCATAACTAGGAACGAATGTGTGGGGTCCACGATCTCTCCTCCTCCTCACGCCTGTGTTCTGCCTTGGTGTTAAGGGGCTGGATGGAGTGATGTTCATCTTAAGTGTGCTGGAATTCTGCGTTGCTGTCTCCCTCTCTTCATTCGGATGCAAAGTGATTTGCTGTCTCCCTAGTGGGGTGAGTACTGTGCTGTCTGTAGTAGTTTCCATCACCGCTTCATCGAAACACAAAACACATGGTTCTCATCACTGTTCTGAGCAACCAGAGCCTGAGCACGGCCCTCTCGGTCCCCACTCAGCACCTCACAAGGCGGTGCTCATGGAGCAGGTGACTGTGCTCCTGTTTGGACCTCTTTCTTTTCTTCTTCCACATTCAGCCACAGAACCCACGCCATCTCAGACGTCACACTAGACAACTTTTTTGTTTGTTTGTTTTTTGAGACAGGGTCTCAGTATGTAGTTGAGACTGACCTTGTACTCACTACATAGCCCAGTCTGGTCTCAAACTCACAGCGATCCTCCTGCCTCAGCCTCCCAAGTGCTGGGATTACAGGCGTGCACTACCACGCCTGGCTCTTTAAACAACTTTTTTGAGGACAGCAGGACAGCAAACATCTTAAGCTCTTCGGGGTGCTTTTAAAGTGTTCACACAGCTGTGTCAGGCTCACCCCGGATGGCGTCCTTCTGACTCACCCCAAGACAGCTGATGTTGACCTATGCACAGGAGAGACAGCCCATGGGTCCATCCACACTCAGGAGTCTGCTCACTCACCTACGGCATTGTGGTTGACTTTACAGGTTGTGTTGCTTCTGCCATCAGATCCTCACACAGAAGCAGCCTCTCCTGCAGCACTGGAAGGAGGTTTCAGGGCTCCGACAGCTTCTGAGAAAAGCATTCCAGAAAACGTTCCTTGACTTCAGCGTAAAACCCCTGCACAAAACCACCTGGGTGTACCTCCAGAGTGTGTGTGTGTGTTCAGAATCATGTTCTCTGATTTTCCTAGGAATTTGCCAAATCTTTCCACCCACCCTAAACAGAATACCAGAACCAGAATAAAAATCATCCAATTAATTGAGAAACGTCGCCCGAGTGACTTTATTCACACTCGGGACCCTACACGAGGGTGTTCAGTTGACCCAGAAGCTTCGGCAGCACCGCGGACAAGGTGTTTCTGAAATGAGGCCTCTGCAGGCTGGACACTGCTCCTTGTCGGACAGTCCGGCTTGTTCTCCCTCTCTACGTTTACTCCTGCTTTGGAGAAGGGCTCTTCTCCTCCCAGAACATTGCACATGTGTTTCCCACTGCTTTATTTCTTCTTTTTTTTCCCCTCATTGGTTTATTGGTACATTTTAGGTACACAGTATAGTTACATTCATTACTGGGATCTTATACCCTTACATGACAGGTCTTGGTTGTCATTTTTCCCCTCGTCCCTGCCCTCCCTTCACCCCTCCTCCCCTCCCTGTGTACAAACACTTTATTTCCATTTCCTCGTATTTTTTTCCTTTCCCTTTTTTCCTTTCTCCTACCCTTCCCACTTTCCCCACACCTTTAGCCCTTTTCTTCCTATTTCACACTGTCAATTATCTCATTAGGGTCTCATGTACTAGTATAGCTTTTCTCACACAACACGTGAGTGCACAGAAGAGTACAGGCAGCCCTTACATATACGTGAGCCTTTGCATGTAGGCCACTGGGCAGGTCTGTGTCTGAGTAAATTCCGTACCCCGTGCTGCATGTGAGCTGGGACAATGCATGGTATTTGTGGGTACACGGGAAGCAATCTGCTCTCATATCACAGTGCCAAAGCACCCTACAGAAACTCAGAAGTGACATATTCATGTGCCACCTCCCTCCCATGCAGAGGGAATGTTAACCGGAGATACAAGGGTGTGGTAAAGAATGTGGGCTTTCTGTCCACCCTGGGTTTTTATCTTGAAAATCTCATCTCTGCTATTTGCAGCCTGTATAATTATGGATATAATACAAAGTTTCCCCACACTTCATCTTTCTACTCAGTTCAAGGAGAAAAAGATACCATCAGGCTCCTAGAGCTTTGGTGATAACTTGCTCTAATATAAGCAGTACTACCAGTACTTGGATTGTCATCTGTTGATCCTCTCGTTCTCCACTGAATGCATAAAAGAATACGTGGGCACCTGTATATATTATGTACTCTAATTTATCGTATTATCCAACACATGCTCACGAAGTGTCTGTAACGAGGCTGACGTTCTTATACATACATGAGACCAAGAAGGACCATGTTCTTCCACTGATCTAGGTCATAGTTTATGGGGCAGGATACAAGTGAGCACGAAAATGGTCAAGCTGAGTGGACGTCTGTGACCCTAAGGAATCCGTGCTGGCGCTTCACCTCCGGAGCAGGGTGCTGCGGTGCCTGTCCGGGGGGGGCGCTGTGCTCTGATGGCTCCTCCCTCATCAGTGGGATCAGGGCCTCGTGTCTCAGGACTGGGCCCCACTGTCTCTCCTCCTCCTGTCGGGCCAGCACTAAGCATCCACAGTAACAGAGCTCCACGATAGAAGCACAGACAGGGACGGCACCAAAAACCGCGCTTAGTAGAGCCTAATCTTGGACTTTCAGCCTCCACATTGTGTGAAATAAATTCCTCTTATTTACAAATTACCCAGATATCAGCTATGTTGTTTCAGTGGTCCGAGCTAACAGTCCACTAATTTTCAACAATGATGCCAAGAAGAGGCAATGAGGGAAAAGATAGTATCTTCAAGAATGGTCCTAGAAAACTGGATTTATGCATGCAAAATTGGATACCTATACCATACACAAAAGCAACTCAAAATGTACACAAGAACTAAATAGGAGTCAGGGGTTTAGTGCAGTGTTGCCTGCCTCACCGGTTCAAGGTTCCAAGTTCAATCCTCAATAGGAGAGACAGAGACAGAGAGAGAGCTAAAATAAGTCCTAAAATCATAGGGTTCATAGAATTTAAATAGGGGAAAATTCCTTGACCTTAGACTTGGCAATGATGTCTTTGCAAATCACACCAAACCTCGGGCTACAAGGTAAAAATAAATACTTTGTAGTTCAGGCTGGCCTTGAACTCACTATGTAGCCCAGGCTGCCATCACACTTGAAGTGATCCTTCTGCCTCAGCCTCCTGAATGCCAGACTACAGGCATGCACCACCATACCCCCTCTTGACTCCCCCTTTTTAATATTGTAGTGGAGACTGTTGTGATAGTATACTAAGTTGTTCAAGCTAGCCTCAAACTTAAGTTTTACTTTCTGTTTGTTTCATGTTTTTGAGACAGGGTCTCTTTATGTATTTCAGGGTGACCTTAAACTCGCAGGGATCCTCCTAGTCTCCCAAAACCTAGGATTACAGGCCTATGCCACCATGCCCGGCTGAACTTGTGATCATCCTGCCTCAGCCTCCTAACTAGCTGGTATTACAAGCAGGCACCATTATGCCTGGCTGTGCCATGTATGACCCTGTCTCAAAAAACCAACCAACTGAATTGTACACATACATACATACAAAGGATACCTCCACCTGCCTCACAGCACGGCTGGGAGAACTAGGTGAGAATATTTTTTAAAATACATATTAAACCACATGTTGGACATAAATTATCTATTGTTCTTTATCTTGAGGTCCTTGAAGCACAGTTCCCTGCTGTGAAACTTCATAGCAGCATCTATTAGATTGAAGGAACCCTAGACTGCAGCTTCCTCAGTTTTATCCTGCACAGTTTGCAAAAGCCAACTAGGAGCCTGAGAAGCACAGTCACACCCCAAGCACTTGGTTTCTGCAAACAGTGAGCACAGCTGCACCCCACAGGGAAGTCTGCTCTTGTACACAATAATAATGATCCACATCAATAAAAACTGTAATTTACACAAAAAACCAAAGTAAAAATAAATAAATGCAACTCTATCAAGCTGAAGTTTCTGTACATAAAATCAAACTATGAGTAAAAACAAAAGCTGACGTATGAGCTAGGAAAAAGGTTCATAAACCATATATCTGATAAGGATTAACATCCAAAATTTAGAGTATGCACATATAATTTAATATTGGAAAATAACGAGCCAGTTGAACAAAGGACATGCACAGCCTCTTCTTCAAAGAGCATACCCAAGTGGCAGAGAGATTCATGGAAAAAGCTGGCGATCACTAATCATCAGGGAAATTCAAACTGAAGCCATAGACATCCACTCACTGCAGTAGGAATGGCTATTATCCAAAGACAGTGGGGCAGCACTGGCCAGACAAAGAGAGAATGTGCACACTCTCAGAAAGTGTGCACATTGGTACAGCTAGGGTTTCCTAAACATCCAATATGACGGTTCCTCAAAGGATGAAATATGATTAATCCATGACCCAGCAATGCCTCTTTGCAATATGTGCCAGAGGAGATGAAATCCACCTCCATTAAAAAGTATGGACTCCTGCATTCACTGCAGTATTATGGGCAACAACTGGGAGGTGGAATGATCCAAAGGTGACAATTGACAGGCAAACAGTAAAGAAAGTGTGTGTCCATGAAGTTCAGCCTTAAGGGGAAGAGCCTGTCATTTTCACAGCATGAGTAAAGTTAGAAAGTATTCTGCAAAGTGAAATTAGCCAAATAAAGAAAGGAAATCACCCCATGATCTCACATAGGTGTAGACTCTAAAAGAAAAACATTGAAGACATAGAGAATAAAACAGTGATTACTGGAGGTGCAGGCAAGGACTGGAGGGAGGAAGTGGGGAGATGAGACACGGGTCAAAAGACACAGCACACAGGGGATGTAGGGTGAGCGAATTTGAAGCTCCACCGTATAACATGAAGCCAAGACTTAACATTGTATTGAGGCTTTATGCTAAACGTGTGGATTCTAGCTGCTCTTGACACACACAGGCCACTGTGACACAATAGCTATGGTGACACACTTCACGGCACTAGCCATGTGATTGTCCGCATCTGATGATATCACATTATACCCTAAATATATACAGTAGATGCTGTAGCAGAAGGAAGGACATGACCTCACCGTACTTGGTTTCGAAATAGTATATTCCTGCTAAGTAAAACCTTTTCCCATGTCTCTCAATACAGTTATAATATTTCAAATTTCATTAATATCCTAATCTAATCTGTAGTTCCTACTAAAATTTCCTGACTTGTCCTCCAATGACATATATAACTTATGTGTGAACAAATCATATATAATTTATAAGTTACACATGTACAGACACACTGTTTAATGACCCAGTTCCATTCCTGTGACCAGGTTTTTAAATGAATTAGTAATTAAATTAGGAACTGTATGCAGTGTGTATATTATAATATTTAGAATGAATAAATGGCCAAAGGAAACTGTGACCTAATGACTTTGCTTTTATTTGCATAACTTTTACATGCATTATCATAACCTATAAGAGAACATAAAACTACAGTAGTGTATTGTCCAGTACAATCAGCAAAAATTACAGCACTGCATAAACAAGGTGTACAGTACCAAAAAAATACATTGAGGCTCTGTAAGCAAGATGTACAGAAGTGTACAACCAAAATGCATGGGTTGGGTGAAGAAAGGGCAGGGGTAAGAGGAAAAAATGAGAATCAAGACTTGTCATGTAGAGGTACAAGATCCCAACAATGAATACAACTGTACTGTATCCCTAAAATGTACCAATAAACTCAATTAAAGCTGAAAAAAAATACAAAATGCATGGGTTGTAAGTCAAAACAGTCAGTACATAGGTAGGTAAACAAGGAATATCTGTTAAGGAATATGCATGTTTTTAAAACAAATATGTGTTTTATGCATCTATATGTTTTGTGCATACATATGTTTAGTACATATATGTATAAATTTAGCTCACTTATATAATGTACTTTGGACTACAGCGTCTATACATACTCCTATAACCTAGACTCTCAGAACAGTTCCCACCCTGTTTTGTTTGTTTGTTTTGGCAGCTGTTTTAGTATTTTATTATGTTGACTTAGTCTGGATTAGTTGTTCGATGATTTCCCTATATTCTAGAAAGTTCTTTTTTCATGAATTCAAGCTATTTAGCAAGAACACAAAGTCAGCACTGTTGCATACATACTAATTATCCATCATATCAGTTAAGGAAGCAAATGATGTCAGTTCATGCACATTCGCCAGTGCTTGTTCTTTGATCGCTTGACTGTTGTGCTGATCTCTGTGGACTGAGTTTCTGGGTCCTCCAAAATTTGTGTTGAAATCTTTTTTTTTTTTTTTTTTTTTTTTTGTAAAAGGGTTTGAACTAGAGCCCTTGCACAGCGGAACCACTGAGCCAAATCCCCAGCCCTATGCGTTGAAACTGACTCCGGGAGTCCTGGTGCGAGGAGACAGAGGAGGACGTGATCAGCTCCTGAGTGTGGGGCCTCCATGGGAGAGTGGTATCAGCAACCTTGAAAAGAGACCCTGAGAGCTCTGCCCCTTCTTTCTACCACGTGAAGACACAGCAAAAAGTCAGCTGTGTGTGAGCCAAATGCCTGCTCTCATGGGACACGTGGGTGTGACAGGGCCTTGGGCTCAACCTCCAGCCTCCTGGTCTGCGAGAACACGTGAGTGACATGTAAGTCAGTGGGCCTCTGGCATCTGTACCTGCCATCCGCCCAGACCCAACAGACACCATCAGCTGCCATTGTCATTAAGGTATATTTTCAATATTTTACTACAAGTGCTAATAGGCTGATTCTTTAAGACCAGGTGACTGTTATGCCCCCAAATGAGTTTTCAAAAACTGGTTTTAGTGTCTCTTCAATTTGCCACTGCATTTCCTGTTCTCAGCCTATGTTTATTACTCTGTTTTATCTCTTAGGTAACAAATAAATAGCAGACTTTGCTGTCAGGCTATAAACATAGATTTCTTAAAAGGTGTAACCGTAGCAAATTATTAGATAAATTAATTCTGTTTATGTGTGAAAGAACTGTCCTAGGACTTGTGTTAGTATAAGATGCATATGGTTTCAAGCATTTTTGCTCCCGAGAAGTGGGGATGCAGAGAACAGTACCTGGGGTGCTGTTGTATGCAGAGAACCATTATTGTTGTCAAAACTAGAAAACTGCTACCCCTTTACACTTGATCTCAGACAGAAGGCCAAGAAGTGAGGAAAACTGCTATCCCTTTAATAGTTGGGCCAAAAAAAATTTTTTTCGGTACCAGGAATCGAACTCAGGACCTTACACTTGTGAGGCAGGTGCAGCACCACTCAGCTAAATCCCTGGCCCTTGGGCCAAATTAATTATTGAAACACAGATATATTAAGACAGTTTTCAGATATAAACTATTAAATAAAAATACCAATAATAGCTTCAGATTGGTCTGAAGTTATTACTTTGATATATTTTTTTTACTATTGGAATCAACCAAATGCCCACAAAGTTCAAAAGAAGTCAGAGATTTATTTCTAGCTGTTAAATTTTCCTGCTCAGAGAGAGCTGGTACACTTTGATTAAATCTCCACTTCCAGAAAATATTTTCTCCATTTGTGTTACACTTCCCTTTTCTTCTCCATTATAGAAAGAAGCTTCTCACTAACATATGAGAAGTTCCCGCAGATTTATGAAACTGCTTGTGGTGAGGCTTCCCTTTCTGCTCAGAATCTGCTGATGCTGGAGTAGATGGCCAGGCTGCGTGTTCCCTGACGGCTTCCTGATGCTCAGCAGTCAGTATCCACGAGGTATTACGAGCAGGACCAAAATGCTTGCAAAATAATGTTCTACATTCCAAGAACTCAGGACTTCAGAGTTCTTTCCTTGAAATAACATCTGCAAAGTGGGGGTGGGGGAGACTCCAGGCAAATACAAGTGGAAGAAGGAAAAAGAGATAGGCATTGCCTACAAGCTTCTAGCTTTTGTTTCCCAAAATCTAAAGAATAATATCCCACTGAGGAGATGATGTTAGATGCTTCAGAAACACGTATCTATAGAGAGGAGTTCCTAGTGTGGAGATAAGAGTAGGGCTGGACTAGAAAGGCTAATCATGATTACGAAGCAGGCAGGCACCTTAAGTAAGACAAGAAGATCCCTCTGGTCTTGGAAAAGATGGGTTGAAGGGTTGGCCTTGAAAGCTGAGATGAAGATGGACCTGGGAAACAGGATCTAGCTGGGAAACTAAAGCCTAGAGTTAGGGTCTTCACATTTTCCAAGAAGGTATCTGTGGAAGAAAGACCAGGAGGGAAACAGCCTGCAGAGCTGCAGGAAAGGGGACTGTTTGTGCTCATGGAGGTGCACACAGGAGGTGCAGGTAGAGGCTGATGACCACGAAGGCTGGTCCCAGCCTCCTCCTCCTCACCTATCAAGCCCCAACAGCCCTATGGGAAGACTTTCCAGCTCTTGGCAGGATGGGATCTCACAACAAAAAGAAGTTAATGTGATTATGATCAGAAAGAGAGTGCAGAAAGAAGCCTCAGCCCCACGTTGCCCCTGTAGCCTTCTACCCTAAGAACTGTCTGGGAGTCGAACACCTCTGTGGGAACTGCAGACACTGCTGAGACAGTGCTGCATCTCAGGAGGACAAACCTCAGAGTGGGTGGGAGAATTCATGTCCTCTCACAAATCCAGCCCTTCTGTCTCCTAACACTGTAGTTGGAGGAAAATATCATGTAAGAGGGCGTGTAATATCATGTAAGTGTGCCATGGATGGGGGGGCTTTGTAGGGGGCTGATTTCCATTCCATCTGACCTGACCCAAAGTTTGCCCATCATTTGGGGGTGCTGGGCTCTGGGAAAAAGATGAGCACTCCTGCCTCGGCCTTGGAGAGACTGAGCTACAGCTCCGACCCCAGTGGGGTCAGAGGTGACCGTGCCCAGAGAGCACCTCTTCCCAGACAACTGCACACAGTCCAGAGAAGATTCATTCCCATAGGCTTTTAGGGCTCTAAGTCTACAGCTGTGCTGACCACGAAAGTCTCACACTACAAAGCTAATCTGTAATGACTGGAAGAGTTTAGTCAAAGACCACATCTCAGCAAAAGATCACAAATCATGCAGAGAAACCAAAAAACATGGCTCAAGCAAAGGACAAGCTAAACCCCTAGAAATCAACCCTAGAGAAATGGAGCAGTGGAGCAAAGCTGCTTAGTTCATGGTGGCCAGGAAGTGGAGCAGGGAAACAGTGCCAGGAAGGATGGAGCAAGAGATCAGACATAGACTCCAAAGCTACACCTTCCCGACCCACCCAGAAACACCCCGGAGTGGGTTCCAGCCATCCCCTGGAGCCTCCTAACTAATCTGATACAATCAAGCTTAAAGGTCATAGGTAGTTATATTTTTTAACTGTAAATCCATCAAGAGGGACCCAATTTTTTTCTATTATGCTATTATTTTCATATTATTGAATTTTTTTCTGGTATGAGCTTTTTTTTCACAACAGATGGAAGCTCTTTTAGGCCACCTGTAAGTTATTTCTTTGGGACCATATCTTCTGACATTGAGCCTATGAAGTTATAGGATTGATGTAAATGTGGCAATCCTACAGGAGACAGTTCTCAGAAGGCTCCCAACTGTCTGCACTGCCTAGCATTTGTGCTCTTATCTTGTCCTCTTTCCCTTTGATTAAAGGCTGTACCTACTAATATAAAAGGCTAGGTTAATAACACCGCTATTTTGTCTTGTTAGGGCTCCTGCTGTGTCTCTAGATTAGCTGGATTGCTTGCTTTGATGAAAGAAAGGGTCACATAAAGACAGAACAATGAGGCCAAAAAGAGGAGGTGGTCTGTGACCAACCTCCCACAAAGAACTGAAATACACCGATTGCCACACGCGTGACCGGCAGTCCTTGAGGGGGCGGCAGCCTTAGGCAATGCTTGTGTTGCAACTTGGTGAGAAACCCAGGGCCAGAGGAACCTGACCCTCAGAAACAGCAAAATAAAAATGACATTTCATGCTTTTTATGAAAGGCAGGCCTACAAATTACGTGGTCTTGAAAAGACATTTGCAGGCTGGTGGTTCTCTTGGCAGTGTTATTAACCACAGCCAGGGGTTGGAAGGAGCCCGGTGCAGGGTGGGGGTAGATAAACAGATAAAGACAATGTGCACTTCAGCCAGACTTACAAAATAAAGAGTCCCCACGCCGCGGTACAGAATGGATGAAAGCTGGGGACAGCGCGCTGTGAGAAACACACCAGCCACACATACGGACGCTGGACGCATGCGTTGTGACTCCAGTCCTGTGTGGCACCAAGGGTCACAGAGCTCACGGGAGGTAACGGAGAGGGGAGCTGCCAAGCAGACAGGCACCTGCTGTTCAGGGGGCAAACAGTTACTAGGTTTGCAAGATGAGAAACTTCTAGAGATCTGTTACATAGGAAATACATTTATAATAGTACTGAACTGTCCATACCAAGTGGTTAACCTGCTAGATTATATGTATTTTAATATAGTGGAAATTTTTAAAAATTAAGATCAGAAACTAACTTGATTCAAAGAAAACAGTGCTGATTCTTTGCCGGGCACCATTACATAGGTATCACTTCTGCTCTGGATCACGTGCTCCTCCACGTGAGGCGGATATTTTGTTCCTCCTCAGTCACTGCACACTCGGCTGTATCTGGCGGCGGTTCTGGCTGTCACAGCTCCGGTGAGAAGAGCCCTGGAGTTGCCAAGCACCCTGCGTGTCCAGGACGGTTCCTACGCTAACAAGGAGCTGCCTGTCCACAGCGCGAGCCACGTCCTGGGTGATGGATCGGTGGCGTTAGGGTCACTCAACCTTTCTCTCTTCCCTGGAGTGGAGGGGCTCTGACTCCAGAAGCCCTGAGGGTGTGGGGTGTGGTGGAACTGATCTGAGAGAGCAGAGAGGTGGCTTTTGTTCAAAGAATATGAGAGAGAGAGAGAGAGAGAGAGAGAGAGAGAGAGAGAGAGAGAGAGAGAGAGAGAGAGAGAGAGAGAAGAGAGAGAGAGAGAGAGAGAGAGAGAGAGAGAGAGAGAGAGAGAGAGAGAGAAAGAGAGAGAGAGAGAGAGAGAGAATCTGGCTTGGGTGTGCAGGGGGGCCACTGTGTTGATGTGTTATCACGTGTGATCCTTAAACTTCTCTAAAATCACTAAATTTATGATGATATAGAGAGGAAAACAGACCGGAAAGACGGTGTGCAGATGTAGCTGGTGGATTAGCAAGGCCGGAGGGAAGGCTGGCGCTCTGTCCCTTCGGGCCCCAAGCTCCCTCTCTGGAGCTAAAGCGGGACTGCACCCCCACCTCACTGGACTCTGTGACAGTGACAAGGGCCCAGGTCATGATGGGAAAATGGCAGCAGGCTCCTGAGAGAGCAGAAGGGGCAGCAAGAAATTAGGGGAGGGCAGGGTGGAGGTTTTTCCTGCCACCCACCATAAATTTCCGGGCAAATCCAGAATGGCTCTCTGACTCATTTTTAAGACATAACATGAAGAGAGTCTATTTAGTAATCTCTGTGGGATTCTGGGTTTCAAACCAAAAGCCTCCATAGGTGGAGTTAGAGTTGCGTCTCCACCTCTTTTTAAGTTTATTTTAAAAATTACTCTTATTTCATATTTTGAGACAAAGTCTCACTAAGCTGCAAAGTTACTCTGGCTGAGCTCAAACTGTGATCCTCCTGCCTTAGCTTACTAGAGTACTAGGATACAGACAAGCATCACCATGGCTTTTCTTAACTCCTGTCTGCACCACAAGCGTCAGTGTGTGGAGTCAGGTGCAGTCCCCCAGGCCTGTGAGGTGACGGTGTTGGTTCACGATGTGTTTCTAGATCCTTCTGTCCTCTCCGCCCAGGAAGAGGAAGTGGACATGGCAGGGTCCGTGCAGAGGCAGTGATGGCTCCAGTGACCTTGGTCCAGAACCTGCTCAGGGCTGATGGGCACAGGGATCCCATCCGCATGAAACCACACCAGTGAGTCTGTGGTGTCAATCCAGGTCTCTCCTAATGTCACATTGTGTCTCCTCCGGTCTCACTGTGGCCCTGTCTGAGCTCAGGCTTTCCTGAGGACAGGGGTCTATTGTTAAAGACAGAGGGTGGCCAGGGAGGAGGAGCTGTAAAACGGGCAGCAACTAGACATTTAGATGTCAATGTAAAATGTAAGGTTCAGCCTGCCTAGAGTCAGGAACTAGACAAGGAAAAAGTAGATATAAATAGCAGAGTAACAAAAACATCATTTATGTTCATCATTACTGTTATTGCCCATGTAATAGTGAATGTTTCTTGAAAGCATATAGCCATTATTACTATTATGAATATGGTAAAATATATGAAATGTTGCTATTCATTAATTTTACCATTCCTAGAAATGTTATTGTTAGTTACATATTAGCGAGTGCTCTTAGAAATGGGATAAATTTGTCATAAGTGTTTTCCTTCATCATTAAGGCCATTTTCTCCCTGTGGACATTACTCTATTTAGCAGATTAAAAGCTAAGGGTTTGAGAGCACAGACTTGTCTAATAACAGGGATCTCGTCTGCATTGGTGTTGATACGCGCCTCAGGCTAAATGACTTCACACTCTCCTAACATTAGTTGTTTCTATAAGTAATTTTTCAGAAGTTACTAAGCGACTGCAAAAAAGGAAGTCCAGGCATAGTTCACGAATCTACAAGCTGTACTTCTCACATCCTGTGTAGCTGTAAACAGCAGACCAAAGGGCTGGTGACTTGCGGAAGACAAAAATCGGGAACTATTGATAGGAAGGCGAAGAGCCTGAGCCACAGCCTCCTGGAGACTCGGAGAGCTCAGCACCAGCGGGCTGAGCCCCTGGCACAGGTAGGTGACCGAGGACTTTCTCTGCCCCCACCCATGTGACCACAGCGGAGGGGCGACAGCCTGAAGCTTCTCGAAATCTCTTGGGACCCAGCTGCCCTGGAACTAGAATGGGAGAGGGGAGCAGCACCGGCTTCCGCCTCTCCTGCTGCTGTTTTCCAGCTGTGTGGTCCTGTGTGGTCACTGACCTGTGGTTGACAGCAGCAGAGCTCTGGGCTCTGAATGCTCACGGGTACTCGCACCTGGGCTAAGATTGCTAGGAGGGGAAAGGTTGGAGCCTCCTCATCCCACCGTGGGCAGAGGAGAAATTCATCTGGTACAGGGCAGCGCAGTGCCTGTAGGTGGGACTGGAAGGAAGACGGCGGCCCATGCCCGCCGTGTGCGAGCCTCTGCTTGTGAAATCCGGGACCTCTGGGGACTCATTCTGTGTCTCCCGTGCTGTGTGTCTTCTGCAATCAGTGTCAAGCACTGTGGGAAAGTCTCAGGAGACCAAGGCTCTGTGATTTTCTGCTCCATCCTACAAGGCAGCTTCCCTAGATGATAGGTCAATTCTGAATAGGGCAGGAGATAACCTGTGACTCCAGGAGGCAGAATGTGGATGCCCAGGGCTTTGTGAGAGCTGTACTTCTTCTCCTCCAGCATTGGCAGCACCAGCATGACGTCGCAGCCCATCCCCAGAGAAGCCATAGCTGTGCTCACGGCACACGGCATCCACCTCCCCCAGACAGAGCAGCCGTGTGCCCCCAGCCAGAAGCAGGAAAGCCTGAAGAAACGGCTGAAGGCAGAGGTCACCGTGTTTGGGGTAACTCCAGTAGGGACAGGGTGGAACATAGAGGGGTGCACTTTGGATCCACCATGAGGAGAGAGAGTTTGTTTTGTAGGGAGACTGCAGGCCACCTGCCCTGCAAACAAGCCGCTCAGGTGGAGAACTGTTCAGTCCTTCCGGGAGGGGCCCACTGATGAAAACAGTGTTTCCCTCACAGTGAATACCAGTGTGCAGTTTGGGTTGTTTTACTAAATGCTTTCATACTTTCCCAGTACAGTTCTTCATATTTCCCTCTGCAAAACTAATGATGAAGTGATACATGTTTTAGATGTTTTCTGTGGCATATTTAATGGGCACACTGATTTATTGAAGAGACTTTTTCTTTCACTGCAAACCACAGGAAAGGCAAACTTCCCCTCTTTTCCCTTCTTTTGAGAAAGATAATAAGTATTTTTAGTTTGTCTCTCTCCTCTCACCTAGTATTTATGAAAAATCTCTATTGGTTGAAGGGAGGACTCCGTCCACTCCTGGGAAGAAAACACAGAGTTGTGACCTCCAGGTCTGTTTCTGCTGGTGGCCACACCTCGAGCACATGCTCACCTGGTTCCCATAAGTCTGGGATATGAGTCAACAGAGCTGTGGGCCTCTTGGATGAAAGGAGGTCAACTTTGCCTCTTCAGATGGAGCCTCAGGATCCCCAGGACTGTTTCATGGATGGAGGAAGCAGTGGAGCTCCAGAGAGCTGGCTCCAAATCCTTTGTCTACTGGGGTTGCGAAAATGTGGGGAGAACCTTCTCTGTCACCAATGCTCCAGACAGTGTGAGGGTTTTCAGATGTTCCCTCTTCACAAGAGAGAGGAGGAGAACAACTACCTGTGCACGCAGAGAGCCCTACACAGGCCACAGGACAGGGACCAGGGTCATGAAGAGACTGAGACCTGAGGGGCAGAAGGTGGTGGGGGCTTCAGGGTACTTGCCAGACTGCCAAGGCCCTAGTTTCCTGTGGAGGAGTGGCATCCTCTCCATGACGAAAACTTACTTTTCTCACTGCACAACTTTACAGTTCTACATCCTCATAACAGGAGTTGATGCATGAGGACCGTGGAAGAGGTGGGTAGGCCCCATCTTTCCAGTGCTGGTGTTAATCTTCGACCTCTCTTCCCTTCCAACAGACCATCCAGATCCTGTGTGGTGTGATGGTGTTGAGCTTTGGGATCATATTGGCAGCTGCTCCCGATTCCCCACATTTTACCACTGTGTTTTATACTCTGATAAAATCTGCATACCCGTTTTTAGGATCCCTGTGTGTGAGTATAGTATGGCAGGGGAGGAGGATGGGGAGGGGAGGGGAGGAGGAGGTCAACACTTTAGACTCTTTCATGCATGGTCTGCTGCATTTCTGTTTTCTGGGAGTAAGGATTCAATAACACAATGTCTTCTGTGGGTGTAGGCAGGGAAGGTTTGTGTGTGCAGGATGACAGCTTCATTCTGACTCTGTTTCTCACCTGGTTAAAATAAGCATTGCTTTTGAAGATCAGCTTATTTTGCATCTTATCATTTTTGCTCTGTAATATTAGTGCCATCTTTCCAAGTTTTTCCAAATGTTCTCAAAGTAGGATAAGGTTTGGAAAAGTGCCTTTCCATCCACTACATGAGCCTCAGGAAAGTCCTCACACACACAGGTGACACAGATGCTTGTGAGAATGCTAGGGGTGGAAGATTTCAGTACCTAAGCAACTGGAGACATCCAAGGTAGATTGATCAATTGTCTACACTTTGTTGATAGACTTGAAATTCAGGGGGAAAGCTTCCTGTCTTGGTGTAAGGGGCACTCACTGGTCCTTCTCTCTGAGGACAACTTTCTTCTAGATTTGTTGGATCAGTCTTTCTCACAAGTAAGCTTTTCAGTTTCATAGTGCTTTTCTATTGGCCTCCAACAACTCAGAAACTTTCATTTGCCTTTTCTGTATTTGTTCTTTTGATTAGCTAGAAGTCAAGTTTTTTAAAAAATCTGATTCACTTTTCTTATTTTAACAGCAGTCTTCATTGTATTTGATTTCTCCAGTCCTCCCCAGATGCCCATCTGTTGTCCATGGTCCCCTCAGGAGCCTGTGTATTTAGTTATTCTGTCTCCCACGGCTCCTCCAGACCTCATCATTCTCTTGACTTTGACTGTTTTGGGGGAGCCTCAACCAGGATTTTTGTCAACTTTCTATTTGCGTTTGTCTAACACTCCTCTCTCACTTTTAGATGAGGGTGAAGAATTTTCAGGTGAAGATGACAGAGGTGACTGGCCTTTCTCTTCAGGTGCAGATTATCAATGTCATATTCCTGGCCAAGTTTGCCTTGTTCATGGGTGGAGGTAGATTTTTCCAGGCTTTGCCAATGTAATATGACTTCTTTCCTCCCCTTTCCATTCTCTACTCTCTGCTAGTAGGTCACTACGCACAATACACATTCAAAGAGGCAGCCCATTCTCTTTTTTTAGACCCAGCATTTATTTCTATAAACAAATTAATCCTGGGACAACCAGAACCAAAGATTTTTCTTCCAATGTGTTTTACTTTCTATGAATGCTGTGTCATGTAGCCTGCCTAAATCTATTAGACCTTGAAGACCACTGTAAGGGAAAATAATTTATTCTGAAGTTGTAAAAACAGTATTAAAGGTTTCCTGCCACCCTGTCTCATTCTACCTTTTGTTTTCTTTTATTTTCTCATTGAGTTTATTGGTATTTTTTAGGTATACAGTACAGTCACATTCATCACTGGGATCTTGTACCTGTACATGACAGGTCTTGGTTCTCATTTTTCCCCATACCCCTGCCCTCCCTTCACCCCTCCACCTGTTCTCTTTGATCCTTTTACCTTTACCTGCAGAGCCACTAACTTTAGAGTTTTGACCTTGCTCTTCCACATCAGTTAAACATCCTCATCCTTAGCTTTTAAAAAACTAATTCAGTCCCTCCTCAAACTTCGTGAGGAGACTGTGGCCAGAGGACTGTTTGAAATGAATATTAAAAAAAAAAAAAAAAAAAAAAAAAAAAAAAAAAAAAAAAAGCTCAGGTCTCCTGAGATGCAGTTAAGAGTTTAGAGCAGAATCTGCAGAACCACAGTCAACAGAATGAAAAGCACTGCATTCTCAGAGATGCTTGCTTTGGCCATTGTTACCCCTCTGTCCGATTATGTCCTTGAGTTACCAATTAATAACCACAGAGGTCTCCGCTCACTACTGCTTCCCTGATGCTTTCTTATGCTGAAGTGACAGGCCCTCTGGGTCCCCTCTGTGACTGAAGTCTCATCTCCAAGTAATCTTTCGATCTGTACACCACTATAGTCACATACTGTGACAAAACTCTTCAAAGAAAGGAATGAAAAGAAGGGAATCTTTTCACATTCTTTTCACAAACCCAGTATTACCCTGATGCCAAAACCAGACAAGGACAATAGAAGGAAAGAGCATGATCTCTATGAGCAGGCAGATGTGAACTCCTCCACAAATTCTAGCAAAATGAATGCAGCTTCACATTAGAAAGATGACTCAACATGATCAAGGGAGATTTATCTTTTTATTGTATTTACTTAATGCATATTTGTTCCATAATGATGGGGTTTATTTGGAAAAATTGTTCCATGCATTTAACACATCTTAACTAATGTCCATCCATCTATCACCCCTGCATCCTTTTGCTCTCCCCTCCTGTTCATCCCTTTCCTCATATCTAAAAGTCTAGCATCTAGTTTCCTTTTCTCTCTCATTTATTTACTTCCTTATTTATTTATTTATTTATTTATGTTTTTTAGCTTCTCATATGAGAAAAATATATTTATCTTTCTCAGCCTGGCAATTCTCCCTTAATATGATGGTTTCTATTCCATCAGTTTTCCTGTAAAGAATGGGATTTCATTCATCTTTATGGCTATGTAATATTCTATTTTGGGCATAGGCCACATTTTCTTTCTCCCTTACTAGTTGACATATAGGCTTTTCTTCATCTTAGCTACTGGGAGTTGCCCTCTATAAACATGTATGTATCATGCATGTATCCAGTTCTTGATTCTTTCAGGAAGAGACCCAAGAGTGTAGAGCTGGGTCAAATTGTATTTCTGTTTTGCTGTTTTGAGGAATCTCCATCCTGGTTTCCATAGTGCTTGTGCTAATTTATATTCCTACAACAACACAGCAAGGCTCCTCTCTCCCACATCTTCTCCAGCATTTGTTACTTTTGTACTGTTGATGACAGCCACCACTCTGACTGGGGTTAGATGGAATCTCTGTGTAATTTTCTTTTGCATTTCTTAGATGGCCAGATATTTTGAACTTGTTTTCATATAGCTTTTGGCCATTGTAACTTGTTCTTTTGAAAATAATATATTCAGTTCATTTACGTACTTTTTTTACTATGCTCACTCTTTATGGGAATTTATCTCAAGGATGTCAGTATGTTTACACATATAAATCATTCAGAGTGGCACACTGTGTTAGTGACAGGAGAATGGAAGTCACAAGGTAACATTTAGTTCTCTGTTCAGATCATTTGCTCATGTTCTTCTACAAAGAACACTGAGCTCTAAATTATTTCTATCAGTAAAAAAAAATCCTTCTTTTCTGACCTTTAAGTTCCTCATTTTGCTTACTGAGATAGTTCTGCTCCCATGTCTCTTTCACAAAGCTACTGAATACTGCACACAAAGGGGCAAATCTCTGTTTTTAAATGTGTCCTTCATCACTGGCCATTGGTTCTGCAACACTTTCCCATGAAAGGTTCTTATGAAGATCAGGTGGTAACTTCATAGCTTTTCCATACCTGGGCACTGATCTGACAAGTTTCTCCTCTTTTCTGAATAGTTCATTGTCTCTGGGTGTCTCTCCATCATCACAGAGAAGAAGTCCACTAAGTCCTTGGTGAGTATGGGAACCACAACCCACAGCCTTATGGGTAAAAATGAGACACAGACTTCAGGGCACCTGCCCATTTTGAAATGTGAGATCCTAAACCCCAGAGCCCCTCACTGTTAGATTTAGAATCTAGCTCAGGATCCCCCACACTCCTGCCCTCATGACAGCCCTCCCCCAGTCACAATGCTCCAAATCAAATTCTGTATTCTAAGCAAGTGTCCAGGAGTCTCACATAAAAAAATTCTCCTACTTATGGACCAGTTTTACTGATAACACTTGTTCACATTTGGCCCCTTAACGGTGAAGAAGCCAAACAGTGTTAGGAAAAGGTGCACTTGTGTGGCTTCCTTCTATAATACCATGTATCAAATCCATGGGAGATCCCAGTTAAAATGGTGCTCACTTGAGGAACTGCTTCTCATTCATCCATCTATCCCACAGAAAAGCTGACACTGTTATCAGTTTGAATGTAAACTCTTTGGTCACAAAGGTATTGGTCATTACAGTACATGAGAGATCAAGTTTGCCTACTTTCAACTCTTTCCAGGAGAAATCCAAGTTGGAAGCAGCAGGGAGAGGAAAGCTGGATAATAAGGCAAAGATTTGGTAATCTGCAAAGATTTGCCTAGTCACCACTTAACCCATGTCCCTCAAGGGATCATGTAGAGTCTCCTGAGAGAATGCCACACAAGTGCAATAGCACAGGAACTCAAGTGGAAAATCTAACTATGCAAGTCCCCCTCATGCAACAAGAAAATTTGAGAGAAAGTGCTCAGGGCAATGCCAACCTCTCTCTGTCATCAGAAATTAGAGACCACTCTTGAGAACTGGCTCCGGGACCCTGAACCACTGGTAGAGCGTCAGCAGATCTTGTTGTGATGACTGCACTGTGCTCTCTCCGTGCTATTACACTGGTGCACTGAAACATGGTGGTGCAACTGATACAGTAGACTGTAATGCTAATGTAATTGTGTTTAAACATAAGTGGTCCATGTGGCTGGTGGCAACTGTATTGAATAGCATCTTACACAATGTTTGTATACTTCAGGGGGCAGGAGGAGTATACAGGACTCCTGCCCCAGATAGAAACATGCAGGAATCTCAGGGATACAGGACATAGTCTCAGGGTGGACTAGAGCCCGCAAGAGACCTCTACCACAGATTTTGACTCTTGTCATCATCATGTTGCCCTTTTCAGGCTGAAGAAGAGTTGTAACTCTGAAGGGGCCCAGAGTATTCTGGGCATCAAGACTCACCCCACCTCATAAAGTGCCCACTGCTAACCAGTGGTGCCTGGGTGTCCACAGAGCCTCTAACACTTGGGAGTAAGGGAGCCCCAGCCAAGCCCTGGTGGTGACCTCGAGAGGGGAATTTTCAGGGTCACACACTGAGAGACCTGAGGGAGAAGGACAGGGAGGGAAAGTGTGTTCAGTCACTCGGCCCCATCTCCAGTCCAGAGATGTCTGTCAGCCCTAAGGTCACATGCGTAGACAAACTACTCTCCCTGGACCTCTGGATAGGGACAAAGTGGTGAATGTTAGTGATGGACTTGCAACGCTGTTTGAGAGGCCCCTGTCTCTGGAAGGCACCATCCTCAATCAGGGTCTCCTTCCAGGTTCGCAGCAGCCTGGCCTGCAGCATCCTGAGCACTGTGCTGGCTCTGGTGGGTGTCGCTCTGATCTCTTACACCCTGGCTGCTTTGGAATCCTCCCTTCAGCAGTGTGAGCTGAGCAGACTGTCTGGGCTGGCCACCCAGTCCTACTTTTACTTTCACCATGAGGATTACAGCGACTGCCTCATTGCCAAAGCCAGTGTGACGGTAGGTGACTCCCGACAGCGGGGCCCTGGAACGAGTGTGGTGACAGCCCTGATGCTACTGTCCTTCCCCTGGTCAGTCTTCTGTCATCTCCTGTGAGGTCTTCCAGGGGAAGACGGGGCTGTGTGAAGGGAAGGCAATGGCCGGCACAGCAGTGAAGAGCAAGGCCGAGGGGCCACACGTGAAGAGGGTGGAGCAGAGGAATGAATGGAAAATGAGGTTGATGTTGAAAATTTCTTAATAGTAATAAAAATCAATTTTAGAAGTAGAAAGCATGAGTCTTTAAACCAAGAGCCTTGGTATGTGGAATTAAGGAAACCAAACATAGCAGGAAGACTTGGGTGACCAAGAAATGGCACAGGAAACCTGGGGTGTGTGTGTGTGTGTGTGTGTGTGTGTGTGTGTGTGTGGTGAGGGTGAACTTGGTCAGTGCTGATATCAGACCCCAAAGTGAGGATTAGAGAACAGGAAACATGTTAACTGTTCTCCAGGGAGCTCCCTCGCAAGGGGGTGCTCAGCCAAGGCCACCCCTCCCAGGCCTCACCGAGTGGGGACTTGGCCCACCGACCGCTTCCTCCCTCCAGGGCGCCCTGTCTCTGATGCTGCTCTGCTCAGTGCTGGAGCTCTGCCTGGCGGTGCTCACAGCGGTCCTGTTGTGGAAGCAGGCCCAGTCCGACTTCCCTGGGGTGAGTGCGGTCCCCAGTCCAGGTGGAGGTGCTGGGCAGGTGGGGGACAGGCAGGCAGGACAGAAGGACCGGGAGAAGCCATCGCTGGGCCTCCTGCGGGTCGGCTGGGGCTGGGACAATCCTACTGCTCTGTGAGAAGGAGCAGCGGCCAGAAGTCCCAAGAGCAGCAGCCGGAAGTCCCAGGCCTCCCTGGCTGTGGGTTTGTGCCCAGGATATGGAACCCGCTGCCTACTCTAAGCAGCCCAGATCTCTTCCATAGCAACTGCTCTCTTTATGGAGTGGCTTGGTCAGGAATACTTGCCCACATGAGCGGGATCAGTGTTGTATGCTCTGCTTCTCCCTCCTGTGACCTGAGAATTTTTCTTTTCCTTAGAAAGTTATTAAAGTAATACTACTGAATCAAATTGCATGGGGTATTGTCCTATCACCACTATGAACACATGGCTTCACTTAACTGAATTAAAAATGCTTTGATTTTTCTCAAACTTTTAATCATAGAGAGTGGAATAGACTGATGAACAGTAATTATTCAGAGAGCTTGGTTGATGTGCTGTCCTTATCCTAGGGTATCTGAAATTCTGTGTACCAAGCTGGGGAAAAGGAGGCAGGCTTACCTGAGAGAAATCAGTAACCTGACGTATTTTCCTTCTTCTAGATTGTGCTCTTCCAGCCTCACAGTCACAAGAACAATACCAACATATTCTCAAAGACACATGGTAACCCTGGATATGAAGAATTAATGACTGCTTAATAAAAGAAAGAGATAACATTCAGGAGAGAGTTGGTCTTTATGGTGACAGAGAAGACATATCCTCAAAAGAGAGGAAGGTTAGAGATTCCTAAATGCATGCTCTCTATACCACAAGCATTAAAGGCTCTGATGAATGTGTTCAGTGATGCTCTGTTGGTTTGCCTGACATTGCCCTTTGGAAACACAGTGCATGTAAGCACTGCTCACTACACTGGTGGAGACGTCCCAGGCCCTTTCTCGGGACACAGCAGATGTGTCCCAGTGGACCACGGTGGCCCAAAGGACACAGCTCTCTCTTGTCTCCCTAGATGCAGATGAACTAGCTCATCTCGATGGGGCTGCTGCAATATCGGTGGCACTAGCTGTCATCGCACGTGTTTTACATATCTGCTTGCAAATACAAGTTCCTGCCTTGCAATCATAGGACCTTTTAGAAAAGTAGTTGACTTCAAAATAAAGTCTTTGTATGACTACAGATTTATATGAAAATTTTTTATTTTTTCTTGAAGCACAGAGTAAGTCAATAATGATAGTTAAAAATGTAAATGCAAAGTCCCTTTACTCCCCACTGGACAGTTTAACAAATAAAGTAAACAAATGCTAATCAGGTATATTTATCTCTTATTAAGAACCAGTGAGTCCAGAGGTTTTTCTGATTGTCACAATAAACAGGAACCATTGTAAATTCTGTTACTCCTCAGAACTCACAAACAGTAAGTAGATACACACACACATAACATTTCATCTATTATGTAATGTGCCCCTGAGTTTGGAGGAAAAGACATTAAGATAAAGATATATGTTAAGTTGAGTCTAAGTGTACATTCAGTGTTTAGCAAGATATTTCTTGTACCAGACATTATACTTGACTCCAGGGTTCCAAATCTGTAAGATGCACTCTTCGGCTTCAAGAAATGTGTAGTCTAGTACAGGAAGTGAAGGCAACAGTAAAATTAAATTCATATTTCAGGACATTAGGTTCTGAGCACAGAATAAAGTACCATTCTTCTGCTTAAGGATGTAGAAAATAGAGTGGGAAAGAGAGTGAAAGAGACAGAGGCAGAGAGACCGAGAGAGAGGAGAGAGAAAGTGACAGAGACAGAGCACTTCCCTTGTGGACCCCACCTCATAGTGTCAATCATGGTTCTGTTTCTGTCACCAGGGAGGAAGGTCCCTTAAATGCACACCAGCTCTCTCCATCCCCTATGTTCCCACTCCAGCCTCGATCCTCACTGCCAGGAACTGACTTCAAAATCAGTTATGGAAGGGGAGATCATCACCAACTCTACAGATACTAAAAGAATGGTAAGGGAATAAAATGAACTACTTCGCACCAACGATTAATACAATTAGATGAAATAAGAAAAAATCCTGGGTTGTCAAATGTATCTCAGGTATAATTAGGAAAGAAAGAACAAGCAAATACGAATGGTTTTATAAGGAAAGGGATACAAATAATATTTAAAGCCTTCTCAGCCAGTGTATCTCAGGCTCGGCTGCTTCACTTGTGATTACTTTCAAGATTTAAAGGAAACAGTAATAATTCGGGAACCCCTTCACGATAAAGTGAAGAAAAGCAACCCCAACTTATTCTTCGCCTTAGTGTCCTGGTACCAGAGGCAGATGGAGACACACAGGAAAAGGAAAGCACAGAGGCCCCCTGGCGGATGGGTCCTCCCTAGCTCCCTGCGGCTGGGAGGAGACGGAGGACACAGCCCTCGGTTCCTGTTTCCCTCTTGTAGCCAAGGAAACCCTTTCTGTCCTCTTCTGGTCCCCATGATTCTCCTTCCCCTTAACCCATTCTGATAAATTCTGAGGATCCGTCTTCACGTGTATAGAGAATGTTTTTACTCAGTTCATTAGGGTTGCCCAGGTAGCTAGAGATGGAGCCCCCCCTGCTGGCCAGAAGTGGCAAAGTTCACCTTTTTTCCTGCTAAATTGAAGGGCAGAACGTGAATTTTTAATTGATCTGCCCCTTTTTATATTTTTTCAGCGCAGTTTTCTACTCACCTATTTTATAAATCCAGAGATTATTTGATTTCAAAGGTCTTGGTCTTATCAACAGGATTGGTTATGACTCTAGACTAACAGTTTGCTTCTATCGCCTCCCACTGAATTATCTCTTACATCTTTAAGAACATCCTTGGCAATCTTTTGTTAAAGGTGTTTCGGTCTTCGGTGAAGTCTGCACTTTCATTTCTGATGCCGAATGTTCTAACAGTGACAGAGTTCCTGCTGTGTTCACCCACAGGATCCCAGAGACGCCTTTATAAATCTGTGGTTTCTCACAGGAGTAGAAGAGGATATAGCATTAGGGTTAAAACAGGCCTCCTACCTCCATACGGGTCCTGAGAGACCAGGCCTAAATTCCAAGGGCTTGGCTTCCTCTCTGAGCTGTGCGCTGTGCTTGTGATAGAACCACAGTAGAATGAACCCCTCAGAACCAGAACTCCCTAAATGGTAACCCAGGTGGGGTCCTTGCAGCTGGCTTGTTGGTGGCGGATTTCTTTCCACATGATCAACCCCATGGAGGCCGTCTGTGCTTCTCGTGAGACCACACGCAAGTCTCTGACCAACCGTCACTCACCGTTTGTGAGTTGGCACCAACCACTTAGTGGCTCCGGCCACGCTGAGCCACGGGACAGGATTTATCCGGATGCTGCTGCCTCCACCGAGGGTAGGCACCTGCAGGAGCAGCTGCAGAAAGCTTGGAGCCATTTCAGGTCTGCTGAAATTAACTCTAAGGGCAAAGCATATCCATCAAAGAAACAACAATTGATGATCTTGCAATCCAATCCCCCTTGTGTCTGACTTCCGGCATTCAACAGAACAGCTGTGGAAGTCTTTTGTGCTGTTACGTCTGTCATCACTTTATACTGTCGAATTTCATTGCATGAGCTTGGCTTTTGAGAGGCAGTGAAGGCCCCACTACAATTGTACTAGTGCTTGTTTGCTGTTTCACATTGCTTAATATTTGTTTCATATAGTTGAGGCATTAGTATTTGGTGCATATATATTTATGACTGTCATCTCTTCCTGTTGAGTGTCCCCTTTACGAGGATGTAGTGACCTTGTTTGTCTCTCTTAATTAGTTTTGGTTTGGAATTTACTTTGTGTACAAATAAGATAGCTACCCCTGCTTTCTCCGGGTTCTTGTCTCTTGGAGAACTATTTTCCATCCATTTACTTTCAGTCTTGGGTGTCTTTTTCAAGTAGGTATGTTTCTTGTATACAGAATATTGTTGGATTTTGCTTCTTAATCCATTCTGCCAGTCTTTTTTTTTTTTCTTTTTTGTACACGGCATTGAACTCAGGTCCTTGTGCTTGCAAGGCAGGCACCAGAACTACTGAGCTATCTCCCCGGCCCCACTCTGTTTCTCTTGATTGGTGAATTGAGGCCATGGACGTTGATGGTTATAACTGATACATTCTGACTTATCATTGTCCTATTATTTTCCTGTTGTTGGTTCTTTTTTAAATTTTTCTCTCCCTTTAAATACTTGCCTATTGGATTTGCTCTGTTGGGCCTTGTGGAGTTGTAACATTCATTGTCTTTTTCTAGGATATTTTTAAAAATTGCTTGGAGTGCTGGTTTCATATTCATGAAGTTTCTCCTGTGTTCTTTGTCATGAAAATATCTTATTTTTCCATCAGTTTTGAAAGGTAGTTTTGCAAGATACATCAGTCTGAGTTGAAGGTTGTTTTCTTTAAAAGCTTGAAATACCTCACTCCAGGGTCTTCTTGCCTTGAGGGTTTGTGTTGAAACGTCAGTTGTGATTCTGAAGGGCTTCCCTTTGCATGTAATTGTTTCTTTTCTTCAACTGCACGTAGTATTTTGTACTTCTGCTGGGTTTTCAGGATCTTGATTAGTCTATGTCTAGGTGTATATTTTGGTTTTTTGTGACTAGTTGGAATCCTACATGTCTCGTTCATCTGTATGTCAAGTTCTTTTGCACTGTTTGGGAAGTTTTCTATCATTAATTCTGTAAAGAGTTTTTTATGTCATTTGTGCTTTTTTGTGGACTCCTAGGAATCTTACAGTATTCTTCTTTGTGTCATGTAGGAGCTGTTGGATTGATTTCCCATGGTTCCTTACTATTTTGAAGAGAGCACTCTTTTCAAGCACTGACCACCATCCAATCACCTATATCCAATATTCTGTCTTCAGATTGGGTCAGTCTGCTGTGTATACTTTTAATAGAGTTTTTAATCTCCTGGATATCAGTTTGAATCTGTTTCATGGATTCCATTTCTTTCTTATGTTGATCATTCATGGTTTCCATTTCTTTACTATGCTGAGCATTTATGGCTTCAATCATGGACCTGAACTCATCTATTTTTTATCTGTTTCTTTTCTAGATTCTCTAATCATGTCTTTTATCTGGGAAATTATTTCTGTTTTGAATATTTCTAGAGCTGCATTCATCTGGTTTTGTTTGTTTTTCTTTTAACTTCCTCTGCTATCAGTTCAGATTGTTCAGATGGTTGATTATCAGAATTTTCCATCTCATTTTCCACAGAATTTGCCTTTAGTAAGCTGGAAGACTGTGTCTTGTTTAAATGTCTTTTCATTTCTATTATTGTTGTTGGTATAGTCCTTGGTTAAATTCCTTGGTTGATATTTAGATATTACTTATTATAGGTGTCTTTGTTGCCAGTATTTAAAAAACATAAGGAATGACTGCTTCTCAGAAGTGTCTTCCTGGTCTTTAGGATTTGAGACTCTAATAACCCTGGGGCAATCTCATTTTCATTATACCAAGAAAGATTACAGATTAGATCAATCACAACACTAGCCCAAATGATAAAATCAGCAACAACAGTATAATCAAACGCAGCTTAGAAAATGACACTTTGTGTTAGTTATTAATCTATCACCTTTAACTGTGAAATAAAAATTAAATCAAAGACTAGCCCCAAATGTTTTCATAATGAATAAACTGATCAATACGGTAACTTCACCCATCGGATGGGGACTCAGAAGGAGTAAGGTCCTCTTACAGTTCTTCACTTCTGCTCTAGCTCAGAACAATGGCCATGAAGACCCCCTGTGCTTTTGCAGTTTAGATGAGGAACAGGGCTAGCCAGGTATCCAGAAATGGTGGGGTGAGGGGTTGCAGGAAATGTCCTCCGGGCCCCAGTCCTCGCCTGTTTCACTGGTGGCAGGGAGTTTGGTCCGCTGGTATATGGTGAGCCATCATGGTGAGCCTTGACATAGGCCTAGCCATGATTGAACTTTGAGTCATCTCGCCGGCACGAACGTGCTGTCGCCCCTACCAACGGGCAAGTTCAGCTGGTAGCAGATGTAACCCATAATGGTTGTTATTGTTTCCCTCTGGGATGTGTGGGTTGTACCCTCGCTCCCGTGCAGCCCTCGCTCCCATGCAGCTGAAGAGTATAAATGTTTACACTTTTGGTTTCGGTTTTAGCCTGTATATACCCCACCCTGAAAAATAAATGGGGCTTTGCTACGGTAGAGCGTGAGCCTGGAACTAAGTTCGTGAAACTGCTCTCCTGTTGTTCCTCCCTCGGGTTGGGGACCTGCTGGCAGGATTCTGACGTTGCGGCTCGCGACACTGGTAGGCAGAGG